TTATCTGAATTTCAATCTTACATATTTATTGTTTATTAGTTACCTCTTATTTTATCTTTATTTTGATGTTTAGGTTTCTTGCAACAAAATCATATTTGTCCATTTGTCTTTTTAATTGGTTTCCTATATTTTTTCTCACTCTCCTCTTCTCTAGCGACTGTTGCAAACGTCATATTGTCATTTGGCTTTTTACTCTTTTTACTTTACTTTTATCTTTTCTATTTTTTAGCTTCTGCTCATTACAGGTCAGCGACTGTCCGGGATAGGAATGTGGATATGTCGGACGCGATGTTTTGTGATGGATCTTGGTCCTCTTGTGTGTCGTCTGGGTTTTTGTGGTCTACTGAAGTCTGTGCCTCTGGTGTTTGGGTTTGGTGTGTCTGCGTATGTTTCGGCTCACAGAGTCGTTTTGTCCCATGCCTTTGAATATTATACGCTATATGTTCATAGAGTAGTAACGAGCAGAGTAGTAGAGACGCTGGGAGATGGTATGTGTGTGGTACCTGTTGTTAGTGGCGCTGGTCTGCATCGTCGGTCGGTGCGTGTCTGTGTAGGATAGTCGGGGTGGAGGCTGGCGTAGACAGCTAGCATACTATAGTGGTGTGTTCTGTGATGTCTGGCATGTATTGTATTTACATGTGCATGTACGATGCGTTGCGTAGGTACGTAAGCGGGTTTCTCGCTCAAGTTGGCGAACCGAGAGCTGTATCCTAGGTTGAGAAAAGGCGTGTCGCGTCATGTGGATTCTGGAGGGCGAGTCATTTCCGACGATGGGGTAGAAAGGGAGCTTCGAAGTCGTCGGAGACAATATTAACATCAAAATTATAATATTAACATATTAATTAATATAATATTACAATAACATAATTAAAAACATTATTAGCATAATCATTATTAAATACCACTGTTTACATATCAGTATTACACATCATTACATTACATAATTAGATTACATTATTACACATCTTCATTACACAACATTACATTACATTATTCCTTTTTCTTCCTGCACAGCTTCTGCCGCACTCTGCGCCGAGCGTTGTAATCTGTTAGGTTATCCCCTCTCTCTCCTCTTCCCTTCTCCCTCCTCCCTCCTCCCTACCTTCCCTTCCTCCTCCCCCTCTCTTCTCCTCCACCCCTCCCACCTTCCTCCCCTTCTCCCTCTCCTCACTCTCATCCTCCACTCTCCCCTCCCTTCCTCCCTTCCTCCCCTCCCACCCCCTCACCTCCTCCCAACCCTCCCTCCCCTCCTTCCTCCTCCTTCCTCCCTCCCCTCCTCCCCCTCCCCCTCCCCATCACCTACCTCTCCTCCTCCACCTCCCCCACCCTCCCTACCACCTTCCACCCTCCCTCCCTTCCCCGCCACTCCCAAGGAACCGTGAAGCCGAATCCCTCGAACACACACGGGCGGCGACTCCAAAGCCCCCTGGCGCCGAAAATTCATCATGGTATGCCGGCCGGTCGCCATTTGCATCACAAAGAGTAATGTCACGCTGTATATAGAGTAATACGGTTCCGTTGGGGAGCGACCATTCCGTGCGCTGGGAGGTTGGCCTGGAGGTATGGGTGGGGGGGGGGGATTATATTATTTTTTTTTTTATCAAGATTATTATTAAGGTGAAAAGGAAGGGATTATTTTTTTATTATTATTATTAAGGTAAAAAGGAAGGGATTATTGTTACTTTTTAATCTATTCTATCTATCTTGATTTTTTATTTATCAAGATTAATGTTAAGGTAAAAAGGAAGGGATTATTATTATTTATTTATTCATTTATTCATTTCATTTTATCAAGATTATTATTAAGGTAAAAAGAAAGGGACTATTATTGTTTATTTATTTATTTCATATCAAGATTAAGATTAAGGTATAAGGGAAGGAAGAAGGTGAAATTAAATTCAGTAGATATAATCTGTATTATCATGATCATCATTATCATCATCATCATCATCATTATCATCAATCATCTCATGCATATCATCTTCCATCCGTCATCTTCTCCATCATCATCATTATCACATCATCATTATCATCATCATCATCATCATCATCTTCATATCATCATCATCTTCATCATCACCACCATCCATCATCAATCACCATCATAATCATCATCATCATTCATCATCATCACATCATTAATCATCAATCATTATCAAATCATCACCATCATCATCATCATCTCATCATCAACCATCATCATCATCATCATCACCATCATCATCATCATCATCATCATTTTCGTCCACTCACCTTCCACCGCCAGTTTATCTTCATCATCAACCACCTTCATTATTATGAAGACTGCACAATAATTCCCCACAACCCCTCCGGAATTTTAATGTGCAGAATTATTTTTTCCTAGAAACACAGACACCAAACACACAACACACATAGATACACGTACATACCACACACAAACAAACCACACACATACAGCCACGCACACACCAACACACACACATACAAATACAAAAAAAACACCACACACACAACAACACACACATACCAAAACAAAACAAAACAAACACACACACTACACCAAACACACACAAAAACAAACAAACACACATACACAAACAACAAACAACACACAAACACAACACACACACAATTTATCCTATTAAGATCAGAATCCAAATGACTGAAGAATAAAAATAAGCAAATAAATATTCAAAGACACTAACGGTGGCATGACAAGGCGAGTGACAGCTGCAATCTATAATCTTTTGCTCTTGAAAATCAAAAAACAATATCAAATCCGTCATTTTTAATACATTTTTTATGACTGTGGTTATTATTATATTTTTTTCGAATTTGTCTTTTATCTATTTAATTTATCTATTGATCATATTTTATCTTATTTATTCATTTATTATCCATTTATTTATTTTTATTTGTTTATTGATCTATTTATTATTATTAATCATTTTTATGTTTTTATTCCTTTTTTGGAGGGTATTTTTTTTTCTTGAGGGGGTTGATTTTCTTTCTTTTTTCGTGTTGAAATCTCCTGTGATTTCGTTATATATATATATATATAATATATATATATATGTATATAATAATATATAATATATTAAATATATATAATATTTTTTTTTTTTTTTTTTTTTTTTTTTTTTTTTTAAAAAAAAAATTATTTTTAATAATAAAAAAAAATATAAAAGAATAAAAAAAAANCGAATGCCCAAATAGGGGATCTGGGCTGACCTTTCGATATAAAGATTGGGAAATGAACACGAGCTGTGATTCGGATTTTTGTTTCTCTCTCTCTCTCTCTTTTCTCTCTCTTTCTCTTCTCTTTCTCTTCTTCTCTCTCTTTCTCTCTCTTTCTCGCTCTTCTCGCTCTTTCTCGCTCTTTCTCGCTCTTTCTCGGTCTTCTTTCTCCGCTCGTTCTCGCTCTTTCTCGCTCTTTCTCGCTCTTCTCGCTCTTTCTCGCTCTTTCTCGCTCTTTCTCGCTCTTTTCTCTCTCTTCTCTCTCTGTCTCTCTCTTTCTCTCTCTTTCTCTCTCTTTCTCTCTCCTCTCTCTCTCTTCTCTCTCTTTTCTCTCCTTTCTCTCTTTTCTCTCGTCTTCTCTCTCTTTCTCTCTCTTTCTCTCTCTTTCTCTCTCTTTCTCTCTCTTTCTCTCTTTCTCTCTTTCTCTCTCTTTCCCCTCTCTTTCTCTCTTTCTTTCTCTTTCTCTCTTTCTCTCTCTCTCTCTCTCGCTCTCTCTCGCTCTCTCGCTCTCTTCTCGCTCTCTCTCTCTCTGTCCTGTGAAGAACAGGATGACTTTGATCTCCACGCAAGGAAAAGATTGTGAAGAACAGGATGACTTTGATCTCCACGCAAGGAAAAGATGTGAAGAACAGGATGACTTTGATCTCCACGCAAGGAAAAGATTGTGAAGAACAGGATGACTTTGATCTCCACGCAAGGAAAAGATTGTGAAGAACAGGATGACTTTGATCTCCACGCAAGGAAAAGATTGTGAAGAACAGGATGACTTGATCTCCACGCAAGGAAAAGATTGTGAAGAACAGGATGACTTTGATCTCCACGCAAGGAAAAGATTGTGAAGAACAGGATGACTTTGATCTCCACGCAAGGAAAGATTGTGAAGAACAGGATGACTTTGATCACGCAAGGAAAAGATTGTGAAGAACAGGATGACTTTGATCTCCACGCAAGGAAAAGATTGTGAAGAACAGGATGACTTTGATCTCCACGCAAGGAAAAGATGTGAAGAACAGGATGACTTTGATCTCCACGCAAGGAAAAGATTGTGAAGAACAGGATGACTTTGATCTCCACGCAAGGAAAAGATTGTGAAGAACAGGATGACTTTGATCTCCACGCAAGGAAAAGATTGTGAAGAACAGGATGACTTTGATCTCCACGCAAGGAAAAGATTGTGAAGAACAGGATGACTTTGATCTCCACGCAAGGAAAAGATTGTGAAGAACAGGATGACTTTGATCTCCACGCAAGGAAAAGATGTGAAGAACAGGATGACTTTGATCTCCACGCAAGGAAAGATTGTGAAGAACAGGATGACTTTGATCTCCACGCAAGGAAAAGATTGTGAAGAACAGGATGACTTTGATCTCCACGCAAGGAAAAGATTGTGAAGAACAGGATGAATTTGATCTCCACGCAAGAAAAGATTGTGAAGAACAGGATGACTTTGATCTCCACGCAAGGAAAGATTGTGAAGAACAGGATGACTTTGATCTCCACGCAAGGAAAAGATTGTGAAGAACAGGATGACTTTGATCTCCACGCAAGGAAAAGATTGTGAAGAACAGGATGACTTTGATCTCCACGCAAGGAAAAGATTGTGAAGAACAGGATGACTTTGATCTCCACGCAAGAAAAGATGTGAAGAACAGGATGACTTTGATCTCCACGCAAGGAAAAGATTGTGAAGAACAGGATGACTTGATCTCCACGCAAGGAAAAGATTGTGAAGAACAGGATAATATGTTCACGACCCGCCATCACTGAACATTCATACTCACCAGATTATCATATTCAGAGACGGACGCTTCCTCTAACTGAAAGATAAGAGATGACTGGTTGATAAGATGATAAGAGATGATGAGTCGTTGGCGGCTAAGTTAATGCAGACACTGTAGGAATCTATTCATATATCTATATCTATATATGTGTGTGTGTGTGTGTGTGTGTGTGTGTGTGTGTGTGTGTGTGTGTGTGTGTGTGTGTGTGTGTGTGTGTGTGTGTGTGTGTGTGTGTGTGTGTGTGTGTGTGTGTGTGTGTGTGTGTGTGTGTGTGTGTTGTGTGTCGTGTATGTATGTTTATAGACGCACATATACATATATGTATATATATACATATACATATATATGTGTGTGTGTATGAATATAGACACATACATACATATATGTATATATATATGCATACACACACACACACACACACACTATATATATATATATATAATATTATATATATATATATATTATATATATATGTGTGTGTGTGTGTGTGTGTGTGTGTGTGTGTGGTGTGTGGTGTGTGTGTGTGTGTGTGTGTGTGTGTACAGAAAACAGGGACGTAAACACCTAAAGGCCAAGAGCCAGCCAGGACCAAGCGAATGGCCCGGTCGTGGCCTTCGCACGAGCGCCCCGAAGCCGGCTTACCGCGTAGGCGACGGCGACCACAAGGAGAAGAAGGCTCAGAGTCCTCATGACGTGTTGCTGCTCTGTTCAGTAGACCGGAAAAGATCTGAAATGGAATGAAACTTGAATCAATTATGATGGAAATGCACAGAGCTCGCGATATTCCTGTAAATGAGGAAGACGTTAGTTCTGTGTAAACAAAACATAATTTAAAAAACTCCTAAGGAACCATTTTGATTTTTATCATTATCAATATCATTATCATCATAATTTTCATCATTATTATCGTTATCATTATCATTATTATCATTATTATTATTATATTATTATTATTATCTTTTATCATTATTATCATTATTATTATTATCATTATTATTATTACATTATTATTATTATTATTATTATTATTATTATCATATCATATTATTTATATTATTATATATTATTATTATTATTATTTATTACTATTATTATCATCAAATAATAATCATTATTATTATTATTATCATTGCTATTCAGTACGGATTTGCAACAGACCAAAGTGAAGCAGGGTCTACAAATGAGAGATAAAAAAAGTCAGATATACAGATAAAAACAAACTATGCAGGAACACCAACTGCAGTAGTTTCAGGACAAGACTTAGGAGCAAAAGCAAAAATCTTTAGAGAGAGAAAATATCCCGCGATGAAAAACCGACAAGGAATAAAGATGTCTTAAGGTGCTGTCACACTAGCACTTTTTTCCGTCAATTTTATGACAGTTTTATTGAACATAAATACAAACATTCTCTAATAATAGCTCTTGATTTGATTAAGCTTGACTGAAAAAGTTGACGGAAAGGTTTTCAGACGGAAACGACCATTATCGTCTGACTGGAAAATCGACAATTCGCTCAAAAATGGACAAAATTTCAGAAAAATTGTTTTTAAAAAATACGGAAAGTGCTAGTGTGACAGCACCTTTAGGGAAGAAGTGGCGCAAAAGCAAGATATGAGACGAATATTATTCTGATATTAAGAGCTTAAGAATATATATATCATAACAATGGAAGTATATCAGCATTACTGGTAAGTTA